TTATTATTATTATTATCTGACTGCTATTTTGTATTTGTAACTTGTAAATTGCATTTGGTTTGATATTCTTGTTTAAAGGAATAGCTCACCCAATAATGAAAATTTGCTGAAAATGTACTCAGACCATCAAAGATTAGTTTGTTTCTTAATCAGAACAAATTTGGAGAAATTTAGCATTACATTACTTGTTCAACAATGGATCCTCTGCAGTGAATGGGTGCCGTCAGAATGAAACTTCAAACAGCTGATTAGAAACATCACAATGATCCACAAGTTATCCAAAGGCACCAGTCCATTAATTACCATCTTGTAAAGCAAAAAGTTACATGTTTGTAAGAAACAAATCCATCATCAAGGCACTTCTGACCAAAATACAGGGCCATAATCTTTAATAACACTTCCTCAAGTGTGTCCTCTCACATCAAAATGCACTGACATATTTGTTTTATTTATTTATTAATTTTTTTGCTTGTAAATAGTGCTTGGTCTGTGCATATTTCTATCCTGATTCAAACAAGAAACTGAAGAAAGCAATATTATGAATACAGGACTATTCTATTTATCCAGAAGCAACATTAGTTGAAGTTAAAATGCCTTAATGATTGATTTGTTTCTTACAAACACGCATCTTTTCACTTCACAAGATGTTATCTGATGGACTGGAGTTGTGTTGATTACTTGTGGATTACTGTGACGTTATTATCAGCTGCTTGGACTCTGACGGCACCCATTCACTGCAGAGAATCCACGTTATAATCCAATGCTAAATTTCTCAAAATTTCTGTTCTGATAAAGAAACAAACTCACCTCCATCTTGGATGGTCTGGGGTTGAGTAAATTCTCAGCACATTTTCATTTTTAGGCAAACTAATCCTTTAAAGGGGTCATAGGATGCCCATTTTCCACAAGTTGATATGATTCTTTAGGGTCTTAATGAAAAGTCTGTAACATAGTTTGGTTAAAATTTCTCAATGGTAGTGTAAAAAACACTTTTTCAGATCAAGCCGTTTTTGTAGCATTTTCCTTTAAATGTTAATGAGCTATGCTGACCCCGCCCCTCTCTTCCGAGCTGCTCTCAGAGAGACTGTTTACTTTAGCCGCATTCATCGTGAAACTTGCTAATTAGCACATTATTAGGAAAGGCGATTTGCAAAGATTCATTACAAAACATTATACTCACATCGGCTCGATTTGAGAAAGGAGAGATAGGGGGGTTGTGTACACACACTGCCAACACACATTTCAGTTCAAACAACTCGTAAAGGCTACTTGGGCTGAGAGCCTGGCCCTATGCACCTCAAAGAACTCCAGTGTGACGTGAAATAACGAGCAACAGTGTGTGTGTGTGTGTGTGTTGATGTGGCCTCATGCTCAGGCAGCGGAGCGCTCTGTTGTTTATTGCTCTTTGGGTGCAGGAATAATAAGTGAGCTCTTCAGTCACTTCCTTAAGTGGCCTGAGAGATTGGGAGTGCTGCAGACACAGAAAGTGCTGATGGCAGAGACCTGGAGCTTTTCTGGCGGATGCTTAATAATCTCACATCTTTCCTCCAACTGCTCCAATCCAATAAAAACACATGCCACTGCAGCAAATCAAATCATACGAGGACTCAACCTCCATAATTGATCTCCCGCTCTCTCTTCCTCTGTGTCTACTGCTGTCTCTTTCTGCCCATCTCTCCCATCTTCACATTCTCGCTTTCGTCTTGCCTTTTCGATTTGTCTTTTTTTTTATTCCTCAAACTTTACTTTTCATTCTTCCTTCCTCCTTCCTTTCTTTTTCATTTCTT